TGAGGCAAAATCTAAGGCAGGGGGAGGAAAAATCACTGGGTTCACACCATCCTTTGAGGAAGCAATGGTGATTGCCTAGTTCCTACAGACAGATGAAAAATGTGACTGAAAGACAGAAATGGATGGTTGTTCTTCACTTATGCCAAAGAGTAAATAACACCTAAAAAGCCTTCTTCCTCATCTATTATCAACACAGCTGAAATATTAGTGTAACTATTGATCCCTCTAAAATGCACTTACTCGACACGAGTTGTTGAGATCCCTTAGTTTGGAACGAAAAACGAACTCCTGAGTGACATCTCTTGGACCCTTGCTCTCACACTGTTCCTTATACTGTTTACTGAGCTCTTCAATTTTCTCTCGCAAGGCCAACATCTGAAAAGCAACCAAAGCACGTTATTCAGATAAAGAAATAATTTTGTAAAAATTTCTCTAGTTCTTGCTGCCTGTATCAGTACAGTTTTGTCTTCTTTGTTTTACCAGCACTTTTGTGTAATTCTTAACCAGAAAGTGGATGTGCCTGCACTTGTGGTACCTCGAGCCACAAATAATATTACAGACCGATACTCACCCTGTGCTGATTGGTCTGTAATCTTTCCTGAAGGGCTATCACAGCTTTCCAATGTTGCACTTGCTTTTCTTTGACATTCTTCTCTTGTAATCTGCAAAATTAAAACTTTGTGAAATCTTGTAATTCTTCGTAGTAAGAAGTAATCATGGGAAGAACTTCTTTTACCTACTTCTCTTCTGAAATATCAGTCCACAAAGCCAGACTAGCAGAAAATATAAGTTAACAATCACATAATTTTTTAACTCTGATTGGGATAGATTATGATTAAATTAAATTTTCCAAATATAACCTCGAAGTTTATCACTGTCATTAAGTTCATAATTTTTCATGTGTGGGAAATGTTCCATACAAAGTTTGTAAGTAATGTTTATATCATTTCAAATTTCACAGATTTAGCTTCAATGGTTCATTAGTCATATAATCATCGTCAAACAAAAAACAAAACACGGACTTGGTGCAATATCCGCATTGTTTCACACTCGACAAAAATATCACCTCATCAAAATATTACACGAAATTTAAAAATTACTGGTTTCTGCTTCAGTTTATTCATGAGTTTGCTATTTCATTATAACAGATCACGGCCAGAAGGCCACATGTAATCGGCATTCTGATTACTGACGCAGCATACCGATAATAAAGAATAAAGATTTTTTTTTTTCTCGTATCCAGTATGCACCATTCAGCATGGTGTGCATTGGTGGTTAGCAGGATTCACGACCCATCAGCACATGGGTTCGACCGGGACCGCGACATTTAACGCTACTGCTGTGATCCCCTTTTAGCGAAATGATGATGAAACCGGGGAAACACCGATGGAAAACTCCGTGATGCCTGGACCACGGCCTTGCCACTAGTTGCAAATCTGAGCACCGCCAGGAATTGAACCCGGGACCCCAGTATTACAAGCCCAGCATTCTAACTGCTAGACCAAACAAAGAAATGAAAGAATACTAAAAAGAAAAGATGGCACCAATAAAAGAAAACAAATGAAATCCCGCAGGAGCTAGACAAAGGGAAGAAGAAATATGACATAGCCGAGGAACGCTACATGATGCAAGAAGTTCATACTAATTTAATTTTATTTAAAATACTGCTACAGTATGGATTTTCAGTGCCAACTTACTTACTTTATTACCCATTCTAAAGCTTGTCCTAGAGAGACTGGTCTTCCACCAGCGTAATTAAAATCCAGCTGATGTGACAAATAACTTGTTGCCTCTAACAGACGGTTGAATTCTCTCTCCACCATTTCATCTTTATCCTTTGGAACCTTTAACATGTGTTACATGCACATTAAACTACATGTGCAGATTCAACTGATACATAAAAAAGAAATTAATACAGGAAAGTCAAATTTGTTCTTCTTTAAAGGGGTGTGTGGATGTCATAGATCAGTGATCCCCAAACTTTTTGTGCCTATAAACACATCTGAGAGTTTATGAGATCGTGGCGGGCACCAACCCATTAACAAAGCCAAATTTTCTTTTCTCTGGACAAATAAGATATGGACACCAAATAATACACAAAACAACACGACGTTTAATGACACAAGAAAACATGCAATCAAAAATACGTATTTTTATAAGTACAATTATTATTACTCAAGTGGGAAGGTAGTGTGATGTTTGGCACTGCATTTCATCGGCCAGTTTTTCAAATTTGGGAGTGTAGAATGATGTTGCTGCTTGCAAACAATCGTCAAGATGGGCATTAGTAAGTCGAGATCTGTGCTTTGATTTTACAATGTTCATGATTGAACGGCCTTCATTATTCAGTATAACCTCTTTCCGTAACAACGCAGGCACCCGAAAAAAGCCTTGGCAGATGCCATGGCACCCGTGGGCACCACGCTGGGGACCACTGTCATAGATAATAATCCTGCCTTACAGCATAACTCAGTACATAATATGGATGATATGAAATGTCCTCAGCAATGATGCTAGATAGCAAAACATACTGTATGTTATTTCCTTTAGAAACATCCTTAATAGAAAAAAGTATAATTACATCCACTTACCGTATTGCCGTTTGACTCGTACAAGGGACATTTCTGCCTGATCTTGTGCAGTTCCATATTGATTTGTTTTGAGAGAACAGTCACCGGATTTCCTCCCAAACCAGTGACTACCATCGCGCCAAGATCAGCGATATAATTAGACTTACGGAACGTGGCAATCCGACCTCCTACTCGGTCCTGCAAGCAAAGTGTTTTTCTGTTCTAGTCATCTCTACCATTCACAAATTTATTCTTGACAAATTATAGAAAGCTCCACTTGAGAAGAACTTGACTGACTTTAATCAGGTTAACATTTGCATGTACAGGGTAACTAGAAGAGTGATGGTACGGGGACCGATGGGAAGAAGGATGAGAGGGAGACCACGGAAATGATGGACAGATGACGTGGAGGAGGATGTGAGTGAGGGGATGGAGAAGAATTGTGAATGATAGGACAGAATGGAAAAAACTCGTCAAACAAGCTAAAACCCATATAGGATTATAACGCTACAATAAAAAGAAGAAGAAGAACATTTGCATGTACATCTTACAGTTCTGTACACCTGTCTGTGTGTAAATCACTAAAAGAAGGCATTAGTTGCTATGACATTGTAACTGTCCAAGTCCCTGATTAGACAGAAAGGGAAATGACAGGTGATTGTATTGGGAAGAACCACATACGTTTACCATTAAGCAGAAATGTCTGTAAGCCAAGCGGCCAGTGAGCTAAAAATCACAGGTGGAAAGTTGGAAATCTTAAAGTTCATTACTGCATTCACAGTAGACCATCCTGTCCTGTTTCAATTAAATTCAGTTAATCTGAGAATAAAAGTGATAATATAAAGGGCAGCCTTTACAAGGAACTAAAGCATGTATTTAAACAGTTCCCTATGAACCACACACAAAATACTGTAACAAATTACGAACACACCCTACGAAAGACTTAATTATTTAATACTGCAGGATTTAATTCTGCACAGAATTCAAACTTAGCTTACCTTGGATCTTAACATTACTCAACATTTAACACAACTCTTACCCTTGCCTCCAGCACGACAACTTCCATTCCAAACTGCTGCATTTGCTGAGCGGCTGCCAAGCCAGCAATGCCAGCTCCAATCACGATGACCTTCCCCTGCTTCTTCGCAGGAAGACTCTAGAACAAACAAAAAACAAACCAACACAGTAATAACATAGTGAGGCATTGCTTTTCAAAGCATTTAAACTCAGTGACATGCTAACCACACTGTGCGCATCCTAATTTTCTTCTAAGTAAACAGTTCTCATGAGCAGTGAGATAAACTGATTTTCATTTTAAGTTGCATTTCCTGCAAAAATCTCAGGAACTGCAACATTTTAATATGAAGTTCATTAAGGTGGACCAAACCATTAAATCCCCACTTAATGGCACCTGCACCTTGTCGTGGTGGTGGGGCTTGAATACCTCAGTGACCCCAAGAGCTACTGGTAGGGCCTCCCTAGCCAGATTGGTCAATGGGGAGAGGTCAGACTAAGACAGGTACTGTGGTCCTCCAGGTTGGGGGTTGGTCGCAAGGCTAACAACCTTGCACCATAAGAAGGAAGATGTTTCGAAACCTCGATCAAAGCCTCGGACAGACGGACCTAACAGAGCAGCGGAGGATAGGACCAAATGGAAGAGGAGAATTGAGGAGGCCATGGACCGAATACGGACCAGAGAGCCATAGAAGAAGAAGAAACCATTAAATATAAGATATCAGATAATGGATTCTTTCCAGCTTTAGCCCATAACTGTGACAGGGAACCCAAAACAGTAAAAAAATATTAACCCAAAGAAAGTCAATGCTAAGGTGCTTTGTACCCATACCAAGCCAACATGGTACTCCACGTAAGATGAAAGGCAATGTCATGTGAAGGCAAGTGTTATTACTGCTTCCTGACATTGTCCCTTATCCTGGGTCATTTCTGTTCTTGTTTTTAAAAGAATGAGACAGCAATTATATTATTCTTTGCAGCAACACAAACTCGGAGAATCATCCTGGTTAGAATTTAATACGTAAATAATGTTAAATGTTAGTTATAGATCCTACTTAAATTCTATTTGCACAAATGACTTGGGAAAGGTGCATATTTATTGTGTCATATCAAGCTACTTCACGGACTGCTAAATATGGAAACGTGTACCTTAAGCCTCTTGAAGATCCCAAAGTTAATAAAGCCATGTCTTTCAAGAAATCCATGGACTCTCATGACTAATGGTCCATCACTGTTGTACGGTGGTTCAACCTGAGGCAGAGCATTTTCAAAAAGCAGCTGCTGTTTTGGGTTGTCAAGCCAGAGCTGCAACTGAAAATAGTGTAAAATTTAATCTACTCGCTGAGGATTACACTGAATTTAAACTGCAAATGTGATAATGTTTCAATAAAGCAAGAAACCATATAGAGTGTGATCCTGGAAGTGCCAGGAAAGAAATGGGCATAAATCATGATAAGAAGCTGTTCTTTTTGACACTTAATTATAGTTTTATAATTCTAACTGAAAAATTTTGCATCATCCTTATCCTTTGACTATGTTTCGCAGCAAAGTCCTTAAAAGAAGTGCTAGGATGGTGTCCTGGAACTCATATATAGAAATAAAATAATAATTGTTGTGAAAATTCTGACAACTGAAGGAACAGTAACACAAATTGAGTGACATACTTTTCTTCAGGAACAGTGAGTCAATGTCTCACAAGTTTGGAAGATGTGAAATAAAAAGGCATAACAAACTAAATTCTTCCACATCTACTTACTAGTCTGTTTCTGATGTACAGGAATACTTTTAATGTCTGTGGTGGTCCCTGAGCAACATCAGGAAAAGCAGCAGCTTCAGGAGCTATCATCTTGTCAAAAGGTAATCGACTCTGAAACGCGGCTCCTTCCAAACCTAAAGGATCACGTGACAAATCAAATGACACAAAAGAGTCCAGACAGGATCTCCTACAACTACAACACCCTGAGGACAATAATAAAGACGGTTCTCAAAACACTGGCATTTTCTTCATTAGGCCAACTAACACAGCTGGTAGTCTGAGAAGAATTTATTGTCTTAATGAAATCTTATAATGAGATTATGCCATTGAAAACTAGTCCATACTCAGACTTTTTATTTCATACAACCTGTAATGCGAACATGAAACATGCTCAGAGTCATGAGACGAAAGGATGATCATATGTGATGACTTGTATCTCCAAAAATAATGTCATAACCACGATGTCCTTTTGCATATATGTCACTTGAGAATGCCTAAATGTATTTTCATGAAAGAGGTTTAGATGTTATAGCAATGCAGACTACTTTAAACTATTTTTAATTTTCTACAAACAGTCATACCTATGTTATCGATGCTCAAGCTTGAGAGGTTAAATAATGATCATCTTTGATGAAGCCACCATTAGTTATATGATCTAATCATGCTGCAATCCTACTGGTGGAATTCTAAACTGCCCATGCTGGCATTTATCAGGAGCCATGTGAACTACACACCATTTCCATCTACCTATAGTATCAACCAGTCAATCATGGCATTACATCAATTGTGCTGAAATCATACCTATATGAGCAATCCCCACTGTACTCTATCAGTAGCCATGTCAGCTATCTGATATCTCACCCATCAAAAGTGACATAAAAACACCTTTGGAACTTTTGTGCACTCTAGAGAATACATATTTCAAATCTTGTCATACATATTAAGCCTTAATTTAAAAAATGCAACTTTCAGAATTTTTATAATTTTCAAAAAAATGTCTAAAGATAAGAAGCCAGATTTACCAGTTGGGTCATCCTGTTCTGAATCTGGTTCCACTTCTTCATACTTCTCAGCCGTTACTGCATTAGCATTTACTGCAATTGTGGTTGCATTTGCAGATGGTTGTTCTGGTGGCAGTAAAATTTCCTTCTTTATGGGTTCTGGAACAGGTGTCAACACACTTTCTGGAGTTGCAGTTCCACCAGCTTTAGACTTCTCAGATGTATCCGACACATCTTCCTCATCCAAGAGCTGGCTGTACTTTTCCTCCATCTCACGATATTCAACCTTGGAAAAGGTAACACCAATATAACTAAACTTCAATGAGGTTATGGTAAGTTTTATGTTTATAACATAATTAGAACCATTCATTTCTCCGAATAAGTTAGGTTTTTGGGTGTGAGCTGCGTCAAATGTTTGATGTTACCCAACATTTTGACAAACACTGCTGTTGTCATCTTCAACACAAGCATCTGTATATAACTTTCAAATTTTAATTTTAAAACGTTTGTCTCACGTCTGTACTGGTCTACATATGCAATGCAATGTGGAACATAACCTATAAATCATATATCGTTGTATATGCAGACAAGTAGCAAACTGATATAATATAATAATTATCACGGTTATTATCTACAAACAGGTCGACAAGGGGAAATAGTAAACACGCTGTTACAACTGCATTTCTTACATTTTTTAAAAAAACGTTTACAAATACATGCACAAAAGCTAACATTGGATATTATTGCACTGTCAGTACTCTGTTTTCGTTGTAAAGTGTGTCTGAACGGTCTGACTGTACAAATTTTATTTGGAAAATGAGTTACCTTTGCTTTCTTTCTACGGCTCATTCTTCGGCTTTCCTTTTGAGAGTCAACAGTGTCACTCACTCCACCACTTTCATTTGCCAAGCATGGACGCATGCGTTCAAGAATTATTAAAGGATAAGAAACATCATCTCGTTCCTCTTTCTTCTACACAACAGAGTTCATATTAACATAAAAAAATCAGCAAACAATACAAATATCACATAAATAAAAGGGACTCTTGTCAATTCACCAGTTTAAAAATGAAATGCTTTAAAATCAGCTGCTGCCAAATAAAACTTTGAAATCCCACTATTTATGCCCCCCACTCCCTTCTCTAGCTCCTTGGCTTGTAGTTCACAGAGGCATTCATACACCTTTGAAAAATTAGTACATAAAATCGTCGCAACGGCGGTACTTGGTAAAAATTGTTGAATTTAGGAACACTATTAAAAACGTAATTATTTAAATTGTAGATTAAGTTGCAAAACGTTAAAACGCTCTAGTAAAATTATATACAATTATATCAACCATACAACGAGTATAAAGATAAAACAACAAAATGTTATAGAACTAATTTGTGACACATATCAGTCTTTCCCATGCTTTGTAGCTGTCGCCTGTATTCTGTGTGCTTTAACCCAAGCAAATAAATATCTTATGAGCCCGTGAATGTCCTTCTGTCTACTGTAGCGTCGTTCCATCGGAGATGTGCTATCATCTATCGGTGATCTTACAAACTACGCAGACTCGTACATATAACTCCAGAATGGATGAACGGATTTGCAAGAAATGTGGTGTAACGTGAGCCAATGAGGACACCATTTCTCACGATCCTCAGTGCGTACGTCCTTAATGTCGTCACCGGCATGCATAACTAATTAAATTCAGCCTTAAACTGTATTATGTCTCTGTTTAGGTAATATTACAAACTGTCGAGTTCGGCCTACATATAAATAATGATGATAGCTGTACTTTTAATTCAAACCTACTGAATACTTCAGGTATAATCCAGCCTTAAACATCAAATGATGGGACGATTAATAAATACTGTGATTATAAAGAATGTGGAAGGAAATAGTTGTGGCCAAAGGAACTATCCCGGCAGCATATAAGAATCCCTTGCATTGATATGAAATATGTATGTAAATGCCGCTATTCTGTTGGTTGGTTGTGCTCAAAGATCCGTTTTGAGGCGTCAAGAGAAGACGCAGAAAAGGGCACAAGTGTTTAATATAAATAAGATTGGAAAGTATTACCATTCTAAACCGCCATTGCTACACCGAATACGATGAATCAATAGGATGGCGACATTTTTAATGCCTACAGGCTCCATACGAACGTAAGTCACAGTCTTGGAGGGATAGACAAAAACTACCAAGGACCTTGTCAGAATCGACAGCCTCCGGGCTGAACATTTTAATTTGGAACTTCCCGAATTACGAAGCAGGTGTGATAACCACTCGACATTTGTCATTTTCTCCACGAGCATACGGACGAAATGAAAATAAATTAGACTAATTTCTAGTAAAGTGGATGACAGTCTCTTTACACGTCGAACATAAATGTGCTGCACCGTAACACATGAAATGGCAGATCCTTAAAACGAATAACACAGCCCACACAGTGAATCGTGACAATCCCGAATGCAGAAGCCAAGAATCAGCGGGTCGTCGGTATCGATTGGAAAGGGCAGTCTACCCCGTCGCGCCGGCGTGATTTGCACGGTCTTTTCGCCGCGTTGCTTGGCCATGGTCTCACTTATTCGACCATCGGCCTGGCCTTCAGTTAATACGGTATTTGAAAACAATATTACGTGAAATTTAAAGACACGCATAACTACCATTTTTGTGCCTTACGAATCACTTTCACAGATACAAGGTAATATTCATAAAGAACCTACGTTATTTTCCTTCATATGGGCCTACAAACGTGTGATCTAGTAGGAAGGTGCTATCTGCTGTCAAGATCTTCAAGTTAATGGTATGAACATGTGCTGGCAACTGAATTGTTTTTATTCTTAGAATTTTGGCGTGATGAGAAGAATGTTTCAAGGGCCTGTGGCTTAACCAGAGCGTCACACAAATGAATAGGATATACTTTTAACACGAACTAAATTTCGATTCCATCCCAGGAATCGGAACACTTATCGTGTCCAACAGTTTAACAATTTATGAAACGAAAAATTACAGACAGTGCTGTCAAGTGAAAGGATTTGTTACTCCACTCAGACTGGTGAGTACATGTCGACATAATATTATAGCTAAACCTCTATTATTTAAAAGACAAGATATTTTAAAGGTGATTGAATGTATTTTTAAACAACACTAAAATGATTTATCGAGTGAATAATGGTATAAATGTAACGAAATATTATTTTCTAGCAGTTCTTAAACACTTCTAAGAAACCACTTACGAAATGCGATTATATACGATGCTTCGTCGATCAGGGTTGCTGTGGATGGGTGGGAAAGTCGATAGAACACTGTTTTTACAGTATTAAACATATTTCAACCTACAGTGACCTGAGAAGTTACGACACTTTCTGTAGAAAGTCAATTTTCACGCTATATTGTATACAGATTTTAATTTATTTAAAGAACAGTAATTAAATTAATTTCCTTGTGACCTCAATGAAGAAACGAGACAGTGAGTTATTCATTACAACATAGATTAGGCTTATACTTGGTTATGTGGTCGCCAAAACCGGAATTTTTATTTCAACCCCCGTTCTGGAAAAGTTTACAAAATTTACACCACATAAAGCAGGTTACAATAGTTCCCCTTTAAGCCATGGCTACAAACCCCTAGTTACTAGGGAAAAAAGCAGTTCGTCAATCTATAACCAGGTTCCGATATGAAATTTTCTGATCATTTACTGATGGCCATTCCAAACTGCATTGATTATATAGCGCTGGTTGGAAGGATAATATTGTGGGCGATGAATTGGAAAGGATGTGGAAGGAACTCGCATTATGGAAGGAAACTAATAGATCACACTTGCCGAAAGGACATTCGAACACAGCACCTCCAGAATACGAAGCCATATTGCTAGCTTCTACACCACGACATTCGGTGATATGGAATTCGTACTATGTTTCACAAATGTTTTAAATTTTAGGAAAATTTGGCATGCCCGCTGGAATAAAAGTCTGTTTGTACAAGTTGTGATGTTATATCTGGAGATCACTGACTATCATATTTTAAACTACTTCTATGAATAATATATAAACACTGCTAATCTATAGAACTGGGCCAACATTGCTTCCTGTCCCTTAGTTCGTGTCGCTGCTGATGTCATTTAAAGATTTTCACTCTGATTTGCAGTCACGCCACTGAACACTCAGCAGAAGTATGGATTTGGACGAAGTTCTAGACGAAGTAAAACACTTCGGAAAATTTCAGGCCACCAATTACTTGTTACTCAGTGTGGCTATATTGTTTGCGGCCATGTTCGAGGCCAGCTTTATTTTCACGGCTGGGGATCTCGATTACAGGTAAAAAAAATATTTTTGTAGTAATTTCATAATATTATAATATAAAATATACACATATGTATATATACATGTATGTATAAAATACATAATATAACATATAATAGCATTTTGTTTAACTTTAGATGTTTTATTTATTGTTTAGGAGTCGATGTCTCACGATTTGTCAATATGCAAATATCTCATAAAAGTTTTAATACGTGCATCCACACTTAAAGTACCTTGTAGGATAGTAATAATTTTGAAGAATTTTTGTATGGAAAATAATTCAAGCAGAAGAAAGGAAAAATTCACCATTGGGCGGTATTAAAAATATGAGATTCGATTAAGCATAACGTTTGTTTCAATCTACATGAGAAGACTGTAACTGTACAACGCTTTCTATGACATACTAAAAAGGCAGGGATTATTTGCATGTTCTCGTTTTCTCGAAATCAGCAAAAAAAACCGAGTTTGATAAAACGCGGCCAAACAGTCTGAACCCTGTAACACTGCATATAACCCTAATGCATTTATAGAACTTTGAGTGATCGTAAAGAAAATATACTACACACAGGTTCAGAATTTCTTGGCTTGTGTTAAAGTAATTATCGAATTTTAATTAAACCGCTCACGGACGTTGAAATTTAAATCAGGACGGTGATATTCCGAACTGATGCCAACGAACACATCTCTTCAGATAAAATTCAGGAAACAGAGATTATGGAACAAAATTGTCTGGATATAGAATAATAAATATTAAAACACAGTTTTTGCCTTAAATTCTTGTTTAGCCTTAGTATTTCCAGCCGAAGGCAAGTTTCCGTTTCAGACTTCTATGTTGTTGTTTTTTTTTGCAGATGTCGCATTCCGGAATGCGACGGGGCAGAGGCCACTTTCCAGCCCGAATGGCTGCAGAACGCCGTCCCGTTCCATCAACAGGATTCGCGGTCTGTCCCCTGGCGCTGTCGCCGGTTCGCACCCCGCAATTTCTCCGCCCTAAGTGAAAATTCGCAACGAAATTACTCTTCGTGCTCGCCAGAGAGCTTCGATAACAGTACAGTCATCAGATGTGATGAGTGGATCTACGACGGGGAAGAAACTACAATTCTGAGAGAGGTAGGCTGTACCGCCATGCATTTGTGTTGGTCTTCTTGTAGGTTCATGGGGGGGTTCATGTTAATCCTTACCACCTGTCATTATGGTGATGAAGTGAGCGGAACATGTAGCACGCAGGGGTAAATGCGCAGACTATAAGTGTTCAGGCGTAAAACCTGGACATAAAGGCTAATTCAAAGATGAAAATTAAATGTGTCTTGAATGCAGAAGATTGAAGGAGTTGACTAGATCATATTAGATCAAGACACGACCGAGTTGAGGACTCCTGTAAACATGATAATGAACAGTCTGAAACCATAAAAGACGAGAATTTCTCAAGGACACTGCACCATGGTTTTAGTTTGCTGGATGATAAAATTTTGATAGGCCTAATCAGGATAAGTTACAGCATCACATATGTAGCCTACATTACATGGAATATCTAGGAGTAGACAGGATGATAATATTAAAACAAATCTTGGCAAAATAGTTTTCTGGGGTGTGGACTGAATTCATATGGCTGGCTCTTGAAAATTCCAATAAACTTTAAAATATTCAAAATAAGTTCGCATATTTATGTTACAGTCGATTTTATCAGTCTGGCTTTTCTCGCAATTATGTTTGTTCCAAAATCTTAAAATAATAATACCTACCAGAAGACAGCATCTCGATTTATTTTTAAAATGTTAAGAACAAAATGAGCTACTGCTCTATCATTGATAAAGTTAAGCTTCGTGTACAGTACCAACTAAATCAATTTTTCACTTTCATTTTTAAAGTAAACAGCAATGTAACGCCCAGTCCTTCAGTCAAGAGAGCTAATACTGCAAATAACATATGACAATTTCTTTACATTATAATAGGAATAGGTACGGTTTCCTTGAAGGACACATTTCCTTTGCATAATGCTAAAGAATTTATTTCTTCTGGCGTACGTAAATTTTTTGTATTTATTATGTATTTAAAGTTATTTCCTGCTTTTGACCACAGCTGTTGGCAAGCACTATAATAATAAATTAAATGAATTTTATTATTGGTATTAATTATCACTGTTGTCATTACAGTGGGACCTAACCTGTGAAGAAAATCTTTGGAAGCTCACAATGGTGGGTACTGTAAACAACATCGGGCAGTTTGTGGGATTATCGATCGTCGGAGTGGTTTCCGACAGGTGAGTTGTTCAGGCTTAAGTAATTAAATCTACAGATTCTAGTAGGCAACCAAGCGAGATTTAATGTCTATCTGGTTGCATTGTAACATACAAAAGTGACTCTCACCTGAAATTTGTTGTACTGCCGACAGTTCTAATGGTAACATTATTAATGTTCTAACAAATATAAGCTTCGTAAATCAAACACGTTATTAAAACGTGCTGAAAAAGTGCAGAATAACCGAATATATGTATTCTCCAAATACGTTCGTGGCTACAAAAATTAAGTTAGCGTTTTTATTAATGATTTGTGATGTCAACCATTTCATTAGCTCAGTGTAAATCTGGGTCATAAATACCACAACCGACAGGAGTAAAACAAGTGTTCTTTCAGGACTTGAGTAAATGCATGAAGCCAGTTGAACTCTGACAGATGCTCTTAAGTACTTTAAATTGTACAGCCCTCATCACAATTGACATTACTTTCGTATTATGTCAATTCAAAGGACATACGTCTTAATAGACGCTACTTAGTGTAACATTTATAGATACATAACGTGATTAAGAAGTGTCGATGACTCAAGATATTTCAATTTCTGACCAGATATGTAAGAAGGGGCTGACGAATTTTGCAGAGTTGAGAAGGTTCGTAAATTTTACTCTCAGCCAAGCATTAGAATGAACAAACCAGTTAATATGAAATTGCGGGGCATGTAGCATGCATGAAAAAAGTGAGAATTGCGTACAAAATTTTGTTGAAAGCCTGAATGGTAGAGACCACTCAGAAGTTGAAAGCATGTATGGGAGGATAATATTAAAGAAGGCCACAAGAAAATTTGATGTGAGAGTGCGGACTAGATTTATATGCCTCAGGGTAAGGTCCAGTGTTGGATTCTGGTGAGAAATCTAAGATGGACAATGCAACTTTTTATTGTTGGAATAGTTAGAAATCTAGGATGGTATGATTGTTTGAGCACGAGGCTAGAACAGGAGTAGGCAGGAAATTCACACAAAATTCTGGTAATGAAATGTCTTTAAAAAAAGTTAACTTAGAACACCGAGATGCAGATGACCATCTGTAGGGAGACAGCTGTAAGGGTGGGAGGAGGATAGAATTGACTAAGGATCATGTTAAATGTCTGTCTTTTAGATCAGCGGTATTTAAACTCGGATTTATGCTACGAGGGACATAGTTAAACGTCGTTCACTATAATCGGACACAGCAACAAGAAGAGTCCGGGTCCTCATCAAAGGGCGATAAACTCTGCAGAGGCCCCAAGACATTGTACTGCTGTGCTTCATACATAATTGGAATGTTATTTCGTTCTTCAAGATATTTCTGTTCAATTTCGTCTTCTATCCTCCAATCCTTTGGGCATCAATACTTGCATATGCATTAATTTCTTGTGTACGAATATGTTCATTTTGGTACAGCAACTATCTATACGACTTGCTGCAATGTCTCCTGGTCAACAACATGATTCTTTCCCTTATTCTTTAAAACGCATCTCTCAAGACACGTGGCTTATGATTGATGGGTCAATTGCAGTTCATGAAGCATCTCTTAAATCAACAACATGAAGTGGCTACGCTTTCTTGGGTCCTGTGGCTTTAGAATTTCTTTCGGCAATTCGCTGAAAGTGCGATAACGAAATTGAAACAATTATAAGAACACACATAATTACTTTATTTTAGATTAATAAATTCTTTAAATCGGAACCTAATTGTGACTCGAAGCTGTAGATATGATACGAAGCACATCATATTGGTGCAAACTTCAAGTTTATTTTTACAATTTATAGGCTTTATAAGTGTTCTGTATGGTTATTTGAGACTTGGGCGTGTCGTGAATATAATAACGCTAACAACGCCTGGCTGGAGCTGGCTAACGATGCGTTTTATCTGATCAGTTCTGCCGTGTTCCGATGTATTGAGTACCACTGAACCACGAAATTAAGATAGATGACTTATTTTTCGTTTCTCAAAGTTTTAGTTAGGCAAACACGGCTAACACGGTTAACATGCGACCCTACTGGTCTCGGAGTAAAGGTAATTTTATTTTTTTAAATTTTACCTTAAATAATATTAAAATAACAAATATGTGCAACAAAAATTAATGATACCATTCAAACAAATAAACGGCGTTGCAGTATATTAGGAGTAATCTCCATAGCTTTGTCTTTCACGATGACATCGAATAGCTCAGACAGTGAATGACTAGCCACCAGAGGCTCTGAGGTAATCTCAATAGACTATCCAGTCAGTAGCTCGTACTGAGGTTAATAATGTATGCACCACTTAACTCAGTTCTCCCATACGTCTTCAGAGTATGCCGCTTAAGCACAGAGAAAATTGTCCTCCATAGCTTTCCATGCGTCTTTGTTTTTGTTATTTACTTATTTATTTAACGATGCTGTCAGCAGCTCTGGGTATCGGGTATATTGTGTGAGATGATAGGATGATTATTATAAAATTGTTTGGGAAGAATGAAAAAAATCTATCGTGGACTAATTTAAGGTACTTTCCCAGCATTTTCTTGAAGGGACTAAGGAAAATCATAAGAAACCTCAGTCAGGATAACTAGTCTCCGGGCTAAAATTTGAAACCGGGAACCCCCCCCCCCCAATAAAAAACAGCAATGCTAATCTCACTGTTTTCCATGACGTCAAATTCTATTTTATATTTTTATACATTTATTTCAGTTATATTATGGGTTCATTTATATATTCGAATGTACGACCTACCACATATATGGTATCAGAACCATCTTTTCTGAATTCCGCCACGTACATTCTCATATACCCAGGCTCACGGTATAAAAAACCTAAGGTGTTCTTCAGAATGTTGACAGCAATTTGATCTGAACACTTAACCCGATTTCAGCTCTGGGTTATTACCTGATACCATGACGAAAATCCGGCGTTTAGACTCGTAGAGGAACTGAAAAGGGGGAGGGTCATTACTTTAAATTTGATATTTCGGAGAACGACTAAATTTTAAACGAAGATTTACACGTTCCACTCCATAGACTGCAATCCTTGAGACACTGATAGTCGCTCTGAAGATCAAGCAATTCACCGCCATTTATGAAATCTGATGGATAATTACCAAGTTTACAACAGCCCGCCACTACACCCTGTCCTAATCAAGTTGGAACCAGTCCATAAGTTCACACTTTGTCCTTTAATATCAATCACAAAATCAATAATTTAAAAAAGGTAGAGAATATAAACATAAGACTGCCGAATGGAACAAAATATTTGAGAATAAGTTATAAAATGTAGGTCTATAACGACTAATTACAGGATAATCCCTAGCAATGAGTGCAACACGCGTTAGAAAATCTGACGTTATATTCCTATTGGCAACTAAATAGCTTTATTTTCACGTGGATTTTTCAAGTCATGCTACCTAAATACGTCTATAGATGAACTATAGCATCTAATGCCACGATTTTTGCTTTTAGAGATTTCCTGGTTTATCCAACGTAATACTTCTTCCATCCATCGTTCAGCGCATTAGTTAAAACAGAGTGGTTATAAACTAAATATATTACAGTAACTGTGTTATATATATGTATATACCCTAATACATTAAGCATAATTATTTCTGTCAACGAATTACATATTTGTTAAAGTCATATTTAACACATCTGACATTCCAATATCTCCTGCATTAGTTCTCATTTCCTTTATATATTTTTAATTTATTGTAATATTGACTTAAGTAGATAGGTTACTCAGCAAAGTGTTTCTGTCGTAGTCAAGTCTCAAGCCAACAAACATCTCGCCACAGCGGTCAGCCTGTTCACATCCCATTTAAGAAGTCAAGTAGGGCCTATATGTTTCTCATGCTACAGAATCCTTCCGCCCTCTTCCGTGTTTTCAGAATTGGCCGTAAGACAACTTTGATAGTATCTATGATACTTTCTTGCGTGATGGGCCTGGCTCGATCTCTTGCTTGGAGCTATGAGATATTCCTTCTCTTCGAATTTCTGGACCCGGCTCTCGGAACCGGAGTCTACACCTCTGCATTGGTCCTAGGTTCGTATCTCTATTTCAGTTTAATTAAAAATATACTGATGTTTGGTCTTAGGTTTTGCAGCTGCTTGAATGCGCGGCTTATGAAAATCTTCAAACAGCAAAAATACACGGATTCTGTTTAACACGGAAAATATAACCTATAAACAGGAATCTAACGAAGATGACTATCTTCTTGGATGTTCTTGGTGAGGTTTAAGGTTCTCACGGTTGCGAGTATTAAGATGGCTGTCTTCAGGACTGTAGCGCAGTGTAATCTGATAGACGTTTACCAACATTTCAACAATGCTTACTGCCTTCTTCATCACTCTGGTTATGAAAGCAGTAAGCATCGTTAAAACGTCTGTAAACTTCGACTACGCTTCGCTACATCCCTGAAGACAGCCATCTTAATACTCACAGCCGGCAGAACCTGAAATCTCACCAAGAATCTAATGGACTACAGTCTGCTTGAATATTGTTTTGTGTTTATGTAATTACGCTGTGTACTCCTGAAGACTATTTCATAAAGGAAACTGTTTTCAGAATGGAAGAGAACTGCGCACGACAGTGTACAATATTTTAATGCTTCAATCTGCTTATGGAAAAATGAAAGAATGTTTTGTAGATATGTTGCACAGAGCTAATGGCTTGTGGTTTAGATCACAGGTAGATAAATCAGGGACGGAATATTTTCTTCTGTGGTAACCCACTCTTTGAGATTGCGTCAATACATAGTGATGCCTCATATAAATACCAATGTGCCCTGAAATATTCCGCTCTTTATATGCTACACACAAGGATTCTCATTCATAACTCTGTACCGTCCCAATTTGAAATATTTTACTTTTAGAAATATCAGTGAATAAAACAGGCTCATATATTTTGATAATACGTTGCTTTTCAACTGTAAAAATTAAAGGTGACTTAATAGTGAAAGTATGTGAATGGTTAAGCTGTTTTAAGCACGGGGAGCAAAGTAAACCCTGTCTGTACAGTCGTTAAGGATCTAGTGAATATTTTGTATTTGCCAAGAACTTCTTCATATGCGTGATGACGTACTTCGCAATGGTTGCACGTAACACCGGTGTCGCAGACCTTCAGCAGAGCTGCATTTCTTAAGTGTTTCAGCACAAACCAATAAACCACCTGACTAAAGTACCGACTTCCTCACGCTGCACTAATCGAACGACTTTATAGTCATTTCTGAACTTGCTTCTTGCTTCATTGGCATAGGAAATGATTCGAGGCTTCTCGAGGTATCCAGAACCTCAAGATTCTAAGTTGTTGGGCGGGGGTAACCTTCACTCTGCGCACCGAAACTCATTCATTCATCGCGGTTTACACGTCAACGTCGTATTCGAGGAGTCTTTGGTTCAAAACACAACCTGGAGATTTTCTATTCTGATTTAGGTTCTTTGGTGGTTTTCCTTAACCCTCTGAAGCTCATACAAATATTTTTAATAAGTCAGTTTCTACCGTAAAGAAAACACATAATAAAATTTAGTTAGTTAATGCTGAAAATAATCAATGTTTATTCTAAGAATCACATGAAAGCAATAAGACACTCTATGTTCAATACAAAGAGCTGTTGGATATTAGAGTATACGATGTATAAACTAGGCTTTAAAAGGTTAATTCCTTTCAAGAAACTGCTGGAGCTGTACCCTAAAATGAATAAGAGCCATCTTCCTCCTAAGAGTCCTTGCCCTTTCATAATTTATAACAGGCCTATTCATAATAATCCTAACATTTCTGCCATCAGGAATCATCTATCTCGAATTCGATCGTCAAAAATGTCATGTCATATTTTTCAGTGTGTTACGTATGCCAATACACGACCTGGGTTTGCAGTACCTTCTACATGTTTTATTATATATATATATATATATATATATATATATATATTATATACACAC